GGAAGGAGGGGGGAGAGGGGAAGAAAAGGGGGGAAACCAAACCCGGAAAGGGAGAAAAGGGGGGAGGGGGAAACTCAGAAGGGGAAGAAAGGCCCAGAGTCCGCCCCCTGCTGCGGCCTGCGCGCTACGTCACCACGTCCGGCGCATTCGTCACCGCGTCCTGCGCCCGGCGCGTCCCCGCTTCCTGTGTGCCTCCCTCCTCGCCCGCGGACGCCCCCTGCTTACTCACCCACCCGGCCCACTCTCGCGCTGCCCTTCCCAGCCCCGCGCACTCGCGCGTACACTCACTCGCTCTCTGGCTCCCTTCTCGTCACCTATGTCTCAAGCCACCAATCCGAATCCACTGCGACCCTCAGTCCACCTGAAACCCATCAAGCCTGTCAGTGTCACCCTCGATTTAAACATAATACTAATAACTCTAATTTAGGTTTACCGAGCACTTTCAAAATAGCCTTTCCCTTAGGACAGTAACTCCCGCACACAAAGCTGCGTATGTGCGGTGAATATTTGTGGTATAAATGAATGAAGATCATGTGGTAGGTAAGTGTCCATTTTTTCCTGATGTAAGGATTTAACTAAATAAATCAGGTTTAAGTCCATCCTGTTTAAAAATCACTTCTTACCACCACCACCGCCTAACATACAGTTCTTTTTTTAAGAGGCATCTTAAATTTGCACCCCCCCATTCTGTCTGTTCGAGGCAGAATCAATTTATTGATTACATGTATTTGCATCATTTATTGACCAACTCCCTCAAAGAAACCTTGTAGTCTTACATTGATAGAATTCGACCATTAAATATTTACTGTGTGACAAGAACTGCAATAGGCAAAAAAAAAGAAAGAAAAAGAAAAGAAATCAAATAATTACAGTACAAAATAAGTGCTGTTCAGTGTGCTATGGAAACCCAACAAGGAGCAATTACTTCTTAGAGATAAGAGAGATTGAGTAAACTACAGAGAAGCTAGAGGTGTAATTTCAGCTAACCTTCAAGAATGTAAGTAGGAGTTCATCAGAGAGGCAAGAATGGAGATTCCAGTAAAGTTGTAGAGGTAATTCTTTCCTTCAAGGAATCAGCAAGTTCCAGGTTTTTAATTTGGAGACACGAGGCAGTGATGGCCAGGAGAAAATAACAGCTAATATTTGTATTATGCATGTATGTATGTTTATAGAGAGATAATCTAGAATATGTAGCATTTTACATCTATTATTTCAGTTTTATCCTGTAAACAATATATATTATTGTTATATTCATTTTATAAGATAAGGAACCATGAGGCACCAAAGTCACAGATTTTGAACTCAGACAGTTTTATCTTCAGAGCCTTCTCTTACTCACTACACTATCAGAAGTGTAACTGGAAAAAGCATGTTGCAAAGGACCTGTGTGTCATAATGCGGAGTGAACCAGTTGGGTCTTTGGGGGACAGATGCAGTAACTGAAGAACAAGTAAGGCAGAAACATGAGGCATCCACCCCTAAGAGAAGCCCTGCTCTCTTTTGCCCCCTTTTCTCACCTCTTACTCCCCAACTATTTGCCAGAGATAAGGGGAGCAGCTGAAGTCATCTTAGGTTGTAAGAGGTCTGGGAACTACATACTCTAATTAAGATATGGACTAAATAGCAATATTACTACTTCCTGCAACCCCAGGATAAGGTTATCATCCAAGAATGAGATTAGGACTATTAAGATGTTAGCTAGAAGATCAGTCCCTACAGGCTGGGATGAGTAGAGTAGGCAGTGACTACTAATGGCTACAAGGTTTCTTTGGGGGTGATGAAAATATTCTTAAATTAGTTAGTGGTGATGGTTGCACAACTCTGTGAACGTACTAAAAACCTCTGAATTTTACACTCTAAAAGGTGAATCTTATGCGAATTATGTTTCAATAAAAACCTTATTTTATAAATAAATAAATTTATACTAGAAACTAAATAACAAATCCACCTCTACCACAGCCCTTAAAAAATAGGGAAAAAAATCAGCCCCTGTAGAATAGAGCTAAGAAATTGTAACACACAAAAATTCAGTCAAGGTGACTTGAGTGTAACTTCTGAGAACCAGCCAGTATCCTAACATTTATTCATTCAATAAGTGTGTTTTAAGCACCTATATTATAGGTACTGTGTGCAGTACTAGGAATACAATGGTAAGCAGCAGAGAAGACTCGCTAAGTGACTGCACTACAGATGGTGATTAGGGGCATGGCATCTAAGAAAGGAGAGTCCAGAAGGGCAAACATTGGCAGAATTTCTTCAGCACACCAAGAATAGTAAACTTGTATTAAGCACTTACTCTGGGCCTGTCAGTGTAAGTGCTTTACTAAATGATTTAAAACTCAAAACTCTCAGATAATCATTATAATCTATAATTCCATATTCAAAATCCATACAGCCAGGAATGTTTCATAATTCAGAAAATTTCAAGTTTTAGAAAGGTAACATAGTACATTATGCTGTATATTATATACCACTCCTAGGGGTAGCATCCCATAATCAAATAATATTTCTGTAAACATGTTTGTGCTATATAGCACAGGGAACTATATTCAATATCATGTAGTAACTTACAGTGAAAAATAATATGAAAACGAATATATATATGTTCATGTATAACTGAAGCATTGTGCTGTACACCAGAAATTGATACAACATTGTAAACTGACTATACTTCAATAAAAAACGTATATATACAAAAATATGTATTTCTGGAGTGAAAACGTATGAATAGTCTCCAGTATGATTTTTTAAAGACCGTAGACAACCTCACTCCTCTTCAGGTCAGCTTTAGTCACCATATGAGCTACCCCCAAAAATGTATGAATTACAGGGGTTTTTGAATTTTAGAATTGTAGGCAATCATTTTCCCCATTTCTCTGATGAAGAAATTGAAGAGAGGTCAAGTAACTTGCCCACAGGCACACAGCTAATAAAAGGAAGAGAGTATTTTAACCAAGGCCATCTGGCTTGAAAACGTATGCTCCTAACTCCACCTGCCCACTCCTGCCAGGTAAATCCCTGCTATGGATGTAATGGCCTTGACCTGAGATCCACTGCTCAGGAACATTTTGGGGAGAGAACCAGGAATTCTGAGAAATCTCAGAATTTATTTTCTTAAACAAAAGAAACCCCCAAGGGTGAGGAACTCTAGCTCTCAAGCTCCCTTCCCACTTTCCAACTTCCCTGTGACCTGGAAGACCTGGCTAGAACACTTCCCTTCCTCCAACTTAACCTTCACGCTGGATGATTTTGAGCTCCAGTGGGCAAAACCTAACCCAGGGCTAGCAAAAGAATCTGGACTGTGAGCCTCTGGGAGGGAGGAAAGTGGGGTAGAGCTTTGAGAAGGACCAACTCTCAACAACCTGCATGACAATGACCGACAGTGTCCTGCCAATGACAACCTCTTGTTTGAAAGTCATCCTTTAGCATTCTATATTAAAACCTCTGGTCTCTTCCATTCCCCCCACCCAAGCTTCCCAGCAAGGCCGTTGATCTGAAGAGGAATTTCATCTCTAACCTTTGTCCAGAGGCCTGGCAGCTCACGTGGGTAACCCACTGTCTCCCAAAGTTGGCCCAAGGACATTTCTTTCCCCAAACAAACCAACCTCCCTTCACATCCCCCATTCTGTACTTCACTGACTATGTGGCTTCTGCCAAGTTCTGCTGTAACTGGCTTCATCTCTCAAGTCGGATGTTTGACTGTTCTATCCCATGCAACCAGGAGGCATGCCAGCTGGACACACTTTCCTTCCGGGCCCCTGGCAGACGGGAGCCGAGACCACAGCTAGAGAGACCCTGAGCCTGAAGGTTTGTGGCTCTGTCTCAGCTGTGTTGCTTAAGGAGGGCTTGCCCCAGCAATGATCTCCTCATTGCTCCTGGCCTTCCTATTCCTGGCTCTGGCCACAGTGACCACTCCCAGAGCTGACAGTCAGTGTCTGGCATGTGGAAGGCCTGCCCTGGACCTGGAGAGTCAGCGGGAGCTGCTTCTTAACCTGGCCAAAAGAAGCATCTTGGACAAGCTGCACCTCAGCCAGCGTCCAACACTGAAGCGACCTGTGTCCAGAGCTGCTCTGAGGACCGCACTGCAGTGTCTCCCTGGGCCCTCGCAGGGAGCGCTTCCAGAGGCTGACAGGGGACAGGAATATGAGATCATCAGCTTTGCTGAGACAGGTGGGTTCTTGGTCTGTAGATCTTCCCCCAAACCCAATCTGTTTATGAAAGGAAAACTTTCCTCCCCAACCTAACCCCTGACTTTCTCCCCAAAACCATCCCAAGTCTCACCTCTCACAGCCTGTAATCTCCTAATCATAGGCTCCCATCCCCCAGGTTCTCTCTTGTAGTTTTGACCTGACCAATGGGCAGCTGAGACGTAGATAAGTTTCATTTCTTTTAAGACCGCCTTCCCCTCTCTCCTCTGGCTCCTCTGCAGGCCCCACAAACTTCCACAGGCTGTGATGTGAGCCCATCCACTTCCTGGGCCTGGACCCAGGGTCTGGGAGCTGGAGAGTCTGTCCTCCCTCGGGCCCCAGGATCCAGCCTCTCCTTTCCCCTCTCCCCCAGATGCCTCATGTGGGTAAAGGGAGAAAAGTAAAACATCAAGATTGGCATACTTCTCCAACCTACCCTTGCCCTCTTGCCTTAATACCTTGGGGTCCCCACATCAGAACAGGGCGAAAATGGGACTCAGAAAAGTAGATAAAGGATGGAGGATAGAGAAGAGAGATTTCCTTTCACAGAGGGGAGAGGAGTTAGAGAATTTAGTTGGCAGCTCAAGAGATCAAGAGTTCAGGGGCAGGATTCAAGAAACAGAACACAAAGTGATCTGTCTGGCCTCTGAGCTACTTGCAAGCTCTGTCTTAGGTGTGACAAGCACATCCCATTCCTGGCGCCTTTCCCCTGGTCAGCATCTACTCCCTTCAAGACCAAGCACTCCTATCCTCAAAAACCCTCCCTGACCTGAGGGTGAGGGGCTCCCTCGCTGGTGGCCCTCACACCCTTACCCTGAACCTGATCCCTCCTTGTGGAATTGCCTTGTTTCCAGATTTTCTGTGAAGTGTGTCTTCCCATAGTCTGTAACCCCTTAAGGTCCGGAACTGTCACTTATACCTCATGTTATCATCAGAGGCTAGTGTGTAGTAGAAATCACTGACACTTATACAATGCTTAATGTGTTCGGAGCCTTTTACATACATGTTAACTCCTTGAGATCCTCACAATAAGCCAGTGAAGCAAATACTGTCATTATCCCCATTTTAGAGGTGATGAAACTGAGGCTTAAGGGGTTGAGTAACTAGCCCAAGGTCACATGACTGGGAAGTGGTAGAGCCAGGCAGTCTAAGTCTGAAATCCATGACCTTGACCGCTATACCACTCTGCCACCACACCACGCTGAAGGTCAGTTTGACCACAGTCTAGAGTCCTCAGTGATGAATAAGACTGTATTCTATTTCAGAAGGGGGTTTCTGCTCATGATTAAGAACACAAACTCTGGAGCCAGATAAACTGGGCTCACATCCCTGCTCAGCCACTTATTACTATGTGAGCTGAGTTGTTAATAGTCAACTTTCTTTATTTGCAAAATAGAGATAATGAAAAGATAGTTGAGAGACTTAAGTGAGCTACAGGTAATGCACCTAGAAAGAATAAGATGGGAGCAAACTGAAACAGAAGACTCGGCTCCTGCCCAACAGGGTTTAGTTGTTGCTCCTAGGAATAAACTACTTAGAATATAAGGCAGAATGAAATAAATGCTGGATGAGAGCACAGGAGCTTGATGGACGAAAGTAATTCTTTGGGACCTGGTAAGACAGGGTAGTCTTTCAGAAGAAGATTGCAAATAGGCTGGTGTCGTAGAATAAGTTTAACTTCACTGGGTAGAAAATGGTAAACAACATCCTAAATGGAGGGAAAAACATGAGTAAAAGTCTGAAGAAGTAGTTTAGAGTTGAAAAGTAGTTTGGAGTGGATAAGCACAAGGTGGACAAATGGCCATGAGCCATGAGTCCCTTTAACACCAAAATCCTGCTTGATGTTTTTTCACCTTTGTGTCCCTGACACTTAGCCCAATTCCCATTTTAAGAATGCAGAAACTGAAACTCAAAGAAGATCATTTAACATGGCCAAGGTCATACAGCTTACAACAGGCAGAATTCAAACACAGTTCTCTCTGACTTCAAAGTCTATATACTTTCCACATATTTGCTAATCAATGAATGAACACAGCATTCAGGCTGGAGGAGGCATGACCTGAAATGAAGTTCGGAGGTGAGAATGATTGATGCCTGGATTCTACCTTTTACATTTAAATATTTTGGTTTGAAGTTTTAATTCCAATTTAAGCTGTCATCTACATCCTAATGTGAAAGAAAGATCTGAGAATTGTTCTTGCTGGAGATTTGACAAGAGAGAGCGTGGAGCTTTGGGGAAACTAGGGTAGGGGCCTTCAGTGGTGTCTCGGAACTGGCTCACTCTGGCTCATGAACGCTGATGGCGAACATCTCCCAACTTGCATCTAGTGACCTCACATTGATAGTTTAAAGTTGGCCATGGTGGGAAAATTTATACCACAGAAATTGGCAAACACTACAAATCAGGGCTTTTTCTTCCCTCTGGAATCCAGTTGCTCAATGTTTACCAGCACACCACTGCCTATGACCTAAAAATTCAAGTTATCTGCCTCCCACAGCTAACATACAACGCGGAGACAGGAACAGGGTAACCACAATAGACACTCCTTTCCAAAATGGAGGGTGGGGGAGGGAGACACAGAGCAGCCAATGGTCCATTAAAATTTTGATATCCAGCCTGGTACCTATCTCGGTCTACCTCAAGTTCAGAATCCCTTTGGTTGCGGCCTGGATGTGTGCCCTGGTAGGGTTTTCCTCTCTTAAGGAGAACCCACAGTGCTCTCCTGGGCTTCTGGATCCACTCTCTTAACCTTTAATGCCACCCTCTGAGATATCTTTCCTCTTAAACAGGAAATGACCTGTGTTTGTGACTGAGTGGTTTTCTTAGCCTAAATCTCCCCTGAAGAGGTTGAGAGCCCCTCAGAGACCTCTTTTCGTTTTGAGTTGTCTCTGTCCCTTTTAGTTCAGTTGTGCTGCTTTCACTATTAAAATTCTCTTTAACACTCTGTGAGCTTCTAAATAATCAATTATAGTCTACTCAATTAGACAAAAGGCAAGCTACTGTATCAAGACAGACCTCTCTTTGGACTATAAGTCAAGATGTTGTGGAAGAACACTCAAGATTTTTAGAAGCCCTTTTGCCCAGTTGAGAGGGTCTACAGAACAACATCTTAAATTTTAGATCTTAACAAAGATGTTAGATCTTAACAAAGGCTCTTGCAGTTGACCCTTTGTTGTTTGGATCTTCATTCTGAGGCCGTGTTTTATTGACAGTGCCCTGGATTTGATTTTTGCCCTGAGATGGTTTCTTAGTTTGAGAACCTTTTGCCAGACAGAGAGTTGAGGAATGAAAAAATATTTTATTGTTCAATCTAGCAAGTCCTATTGGAAATGTTTTCTCTAAATTCTGCTTGAAAATTGAACAGTTCCTTTTTTAGTTCATCTCACTCCTGAAATGCCTTATCATAGGAAGCCAAAATAAGCCAGTTGACACTTTCAGCATTCTGCCTGGAAATATCTTTAGCTAAATTCACAACTTTGTTAGATACCATTTCTAGCTTCCGAGTTGCCACAGCCGATAGCCAGTACATAACACAGGTTCCCCTTTCCCCAGCTTCCAATAGCAATTTCCTCACTGCTCTTCCTGCCTTCACCAGCAGTCTCCTGCCATCCTTCCAACCTCTGTCTGCCACCCAGTCCCAAGGCCAATGCCACATATTTTAGGTCTTTGCTCTGGAGTACCTCACTTCTGATACTAATTTGTTTCAGTTATCCATTAATATAACAAATCGGCCCAAACATTGAGGCTTAAATCAAACAAACAAAAATTCAATATTTTTCATGGTTGTGTGGTTTAACTGGGCTTATCTGGGCCCTTCTTTGGCTCCCTGTCATGTAGCTGAGGTCACTCACGCAGCTGCATTCAGCTAGGGGCTCAGAGGGGGCTAGAACATCTAAGAGTCTCCCTCCACATGGCTTCTCATCATTCAGCACTCTAGCCCAAGCTGCTTTAAAGCACAGTGGCTGGCTTCCAAGAGAAGGAAGCTTCAAGGTGTAAGTACTCACTAAGTTTCTGCTTGTACTATGCTTGCCTATGTCTCATTGGCCAAATCAAGTCACATGCCATGCCCAGAGTTAATATGAGAAGGGATTGTACCAATCCATGTATATTGGGAGGTGTTGTTCATTAGGGGCCAACAATATAATAATCTACCACAGCCCTGGCCGGTCATGTGTCTGCCTGCCATAACTGGGGTGACTTAAGAGGTTCTAATGGTAGGGTGTTTCGTGACCTAACAAGAAAAAATTAGCTGGACCAATCAGAGTTTTCTTGGATTTTGGAGTTAGGAACTGGAAAATCAGCTCACTTAGCTAGGAGGAGCTAAGTAAAAGATTCTGTAGACTCAGGAGCTGGGGTCACCATTCCAGGACCTGAGAAAGCTGACAAAGAGGCAGAAGAGGTAGACCCACAGAAAGAGAAGAATGGAGTAGATTTACATAGGGAGACTGAGATGAGAGGCATCTTGTTGGCTCTGAGAGCTGACAAGAGCAAGCTTATTCCAGACCTTCCAGTTCACGCAAAGCCTAGTTGAACTTTATTTTCTGTTCTTTTATGCCCATGAGAGTATCAGTGGCATTCCTACAAAAAAGCATCCTTTACTTAAAAAAGCAAATAAGGGTAGCCTAGGCCAAATCATAATGAGCATTTAATTGACTCCTAAAAGAGTTTGGGCTTTATTCACCAATAAGTATTTTGAAACCATGAATTTTATGACCTAGCTTTTTTGGAAAATAATTCTGGCGTCAGTGTAAAATAAAAATTAAAGAAATGAAAAGCCATTCATTCAACAAATGTTTATTGAGTGCCTACTATGTGGTAGATACATAAGGATACAATGGTGAACCATACAGGCACAATCTTTATCTTAATGGAGTTTACATTCTAGCAGCTGGGGCAGGGGGATGTCGAGGGGGTGGAAAAGCATATAGTAAACAAATGAGCAAAAAAACCAAGGTGGTCACAGAGAGTGATATTGGCTATGAAGACAGTTAAGCAGGATGATGTATTAAAAAGACAGAGGTAGAGTTAAAGGCAGCTTTAGACTGGTTAGTCCCCTGGAGAGGAGAATTTGAGCTGAAGGCCAAAAAGGAGCCAGTCATCCAAAGACCTTGGAAAGACATTCCAGGCAGGCAGAATAGCAAGTGGAAAGGCCATGAGGTGGGTCCACGACTGGTGAGTTCAAGGAACGGGAAAAAGTCTGGTATAGGTAGAATACAGTCATGAAATGGAAGAATGCCTAATTATGCAAATTTTTTATGTTAAAGAGTTTAGATTTTATTCAAATAGTAATGGGAAGATTTTAAAGGGTTTTAAGCTGAGAGGATTAAACTGATCAGATTTATGTCATAAAAAGATCACTCTGGCTGATATGTGAAGAATTGTTCTGGGGTCAAGAGTGAACCAGTTGGCAAGCTATTGCCATAATATGAGAAAAAGATGATTGTGGATTGAACTAATGTGTGGTAGAGGAGGTGGGGAAAAGTGAAATGATATTATGAACTGGAGGTAGAGTTGACAGATCTGCAGATAATTTCAAAGTAAGGGGTGAGGGCAAGCAAGGCTTTTACAGGAAAGGGAAGATTGGAAAAGGAATAGGTTTTGGTTGGGGGAGATAAATCTAGAGTTCTTTGAACATGAAAACTTTGAGATGGCATTGGTTATCCAAGTGGAATATCAGACCAACAGCTGGATATACTAGTCTGAAGCTCAGGGAGAGGTCAGAGCCAGGGATTTATACCTGGGAGTCATCAGCCTATAGATGGAATTGAAAGAGAGGAATTGATGTCTCGTTTTGGGAGAGAGTATAGATAGAGAAGAGAAGGGGGCTCAGGACCTCCAACATTTAGAGGTCAGGCAGAAGAAGAGAAGCTGTCAGCAGAGAAGACCAAGATGAAGTAGCTAGAATCATGAGAGCTAAGAGAAGCAAATATTTCAAGAAGGAGGGGATGGTTAACTGTGTCAAACACTGCTTAAAGGCCAAGTAAGATGAATAGAAAGAGATTAAAGCATTGGATTTGGCAACATGGAAGTATTAGTGATCCTGACAAGAGAATTTCAGTGAAGTGGAGGGAATAGAAACCCAATTAATGTGTTTTAATAGAGGAGGTGAGGGATGTAGAGGGGAAATTGGGCAGTAGTAATAGGTATAGAAAGAAATGAATAGCCATTAGAACCATTGTGGTGAGGGACTAGATGTGGCGAGTGAGGGAGGTGATCATAGGGTTTCTAGAAGTAATAAGGATAGCGGTGCCACCAATTCTAAGAACAGAAACAGAAGTATATAGGGAGTTGGGGAGGGTATAGTCAGTGGTAGAGTGCATGCTTAGCATGCATGAGGTCCTGGGTTCTATCCCTGGTACCTCCATTAAATAAATAAATAAATAAACCTAATTCCTCCCCCTCCCCGCAAAAACAAAAAAAAAAGAAAGAAAAGAGAAGAAAAATTAGCCAAAAGGGGGGGGCATGTAGAAAAAGAAGAGTGAAAAAAAAAGAATTATATAGGGAGAAAAATAATGATTTCCCTTGGGATAAATTGATTCTAATATGCCAACAGGACACGCATGTAATAAAATTAAGCGATTAGAAGTTTAGGCCTGAAGCTTGGTGATTCCCAAGATGCAAAATGGCCTAGACTGGACATATAGATTTAGGAATCACCAGCATAAACTGTGTCGACTGACTGTGAGTGTGGACCAGAGTTCCCCTCTGTAGAGTAGAGTAAAAGTGAAGGTCAGCAATAGACCTTGGAGAACTCTTACACTGAAGGGATGATCAGAGAAGGAAAAGCCAGCAAAGAAAATTAAGGAAGAATCATAAGAGAGTTGTGTCATGAAAGCCAAAGGAGAAAAGATTTTCAAGAAGAAAAGGGTGGTTAACAATGCCAACAATGTGGTCAAGAAGAAACTAAGGGAGTTCAAGTATGCTGAGAACAGATAGGTGTTGGTAGAATTGACACTCAGAAGACCACAGTGACAGGGGCTTCTTGTGTCCACAGGCCTCTCCAGCATCGACCAGACTCGTCTTGATTTCCACTTCTCTAATCAAACTGCTGGTGGCTTGGAGGTCCAGCAGGCCAGCCTCATGTTCTTTGTGCAGCTCCCTCCCAATACCACCTGGACTTTGAAGGTGAGGGTCCTTGAGCTAGGCCCACATGACACCAACCTCACCTTGGCCACTCAGCACCTGCTGGAGGTAGATGACAGTGGTTGGCACCAGTTCCTCCTGGGGTCTGAGGCTCAGGCTGCCTGCAGCCAGGGGCACCTGATCCTGGAGCTGGTTCCTGAAGGCCAGTTAGCCCAGAGCTCAGTCATCCTGGGCAGGGCTGCCCATAGGCCTTTTGTGACAGCCCGGGTAAGAGTTGGGGGCAAGCACCGGGTTCGCCGGCGAGGCATCGACTGCCAGGGGAGGTCCAGGATGTGCTGTCGACAAGAGTTCTTTGTGGACTTCCGTGAGATTGGCTGGCACGACTGGATCATCCAGCATGAGGGCTACGCAATGAACTTCTGCACAGGACAGTGCCCGCTGCACATGGCAGGCATGCCTGGTATTGCTGCCTCTTTTCACACAGCGGTGCTCAATCTCTTCAAGGCCAACTCAGCTGCAGGCACCACTGGAGGGGGCTCATGCTGCGTGCCCACAGCCCGGCGCCCCCTGTCTCTGCTCTACTATGACAAGTACAGCAACATTGTCAAGACTGACATACTTGACATGGTGGTAGAGGCCTGTGGGTGCAGTTAGGCCACGTGTGGTCTGGGCAGTCCGAGGCAAGGTGAGCAAAACTGCCCTGACAGAGGTGCTCTTCCTTGAGAAGAGGGAGTGGCCCCATCACTGCCTCTGTCCAGAAGATGGACTCCTTCTTCCTGAGCATCGTATGGAAATTATCCCAACTATGACTTGAGAAGAACTTCATCTAAGAAGAGTCATTGTCATCTAAGGAGAGTCGCTGTACCACCTTCATAACCACCAGCCTCTCTCCTAGGGCATAGTCCATCCAGCAAGCTCCACGTCCTCAACCACCACCCCAGGGACTCTGATCCACCTCCAGCCATGAGCAGTGCCATCAGTTCCCAGGCAGAAGACACCGGTGACCCATCTTTAATCCAGCCCACAATCCACTACACCTCCATGCCCTTTCTACTCAATGTCCCTCTCTCCTGGATGAGCTTACCCAGCCCCTTCCCCTGATTTTCTGAATTTCCAGAGAGCCCCATCCTGAGATTTACCAAACATGACATCCTCTCTGTGTCTTAAGCCCTTTTCCTTCTAACTTGCCCAGTGGACTGCTAAGGCTCTCTTGGCACAGCCTCATCCACTCTTGTCTTTCTCTGCCCTGCTCTGTGCCCTTTGGGGCTGACTTACCTGAGTTCCATTGACCTTTGGCTTCCTGCCGAGTTTGACTAAGAGGAGACAGAAGCAGGAGATCAAAGGATAGGAGGAGACAGGTCAGGGTGTTTCTTATTCCTGCTCCCTCTGCCCAGGTGCCGTGGTTCTGTGTGACTTTGGCTGTGGCCATGTCCCTACAGTTCCTGTCTGACTGCCCACTAGGTCCTCATATCAGTGTTTTCATGTTATGGGCTTGTAATGACTTTCCACTCTTGCTAGTCCCTGGGTGTTTCAACGTCCCTGGTTGGTTCCCTTAGCCCTGCCCATACCTCTGTAAAGAAGTCCTCCATTAAATCTTCTTAGTGATGCAAACTCAGACAGCTGAGTGGGTCTTTTGTCTCCTGCCAGGACCCTGATTGACACCCCAGATGACATGGAGCCTGCCTGCCCTGCCCACTTTCTCTCCTCACAGTCTCCTTAGGGCTGAGCTATTGTGTCCATCCCGTACATCATGACTCTTCCTTCTCCACGCTGCCTCCTCTTCTTTCTTAGGCCTCCTCCTCCCTCCCAGAACCATCTTTGCTGGTCTTACAGCTAATAAAGGCCTGAGTTTTACCTGCTTATCTCCTCCCTCTGTCCCCGCTCCAAGAGATGAGACAGATCACTGCTCAATCAGCAAGTAGGCTGGCAACCTGTGGGCACATACATGGTGGGAGGCAGAGGCACGGCTCAAAGCTGGCCACCTTCCCTTCAATGACCCGCAAGGCCCCATCCAGGAGTCCTGCCTGGAAGATGGAACTGGCCAAGGGCCACTTGAGCGAGACAGAGAGAAGAAAAGGTAGGCCTCGGGTGAGGAGAGGGTGGCATTTGCCCTAAGACTAGGTACTCTCTAGACCTTTGCCCTCCTCCCCCACTATCTCCTCCCTTTGGTTGGACAGCCCTGAACCATGCGGTCGATAATGTCTGCAGCCCAAGGCCGAGTTTGCGCAAAACCCATGTGTCCTTTGGGAAACGTGATGTCTGTGTTTGCTCAGCATATAACCCCCTCCTATCTGGGTCTGAGGTCCCTGGAATAGGAACCCTAGAGGAGAAAGTCTGAAAGGGACCTACCCAGGGGACTGCAGATCTGAGCTGTGGGGCTTCCTGAGCAAACGCATGGAAGATATCCCGCCTTTGACGTGAGGAAATCTTCATCTAAGGAAGTCTTCTGATGGCTCTCCTTCCCCCTACTCCACCCCTCTCCCACATCTAACCTCCCTCCCAGCTTCAGTCCCCAGGGCCAAGACTAAGGTGAGGTGAAGCGAAGCACTTGCTTTGGGGGCAAAATTTTAAGGGGACGCCAAAAAATTCATCAATCAAGCTAAATATCTTAATACAGTATTTTTTAAATCAAAATTAATGCAAAAAAACCCACGATGAACAAAGTAGCAAATTTTAAAATAAATTAAATTGAAAAGGAATCAGTATTACTCCTTTTCTTCTTTTGTGTCTTGGCTCTGCCTTTGATTAAAACGGGAAAGAGTGGGACTGTCTCCTAAACCTTTTCTTCCAGAGCCCCCGGCCCCTAATTCTAGACTTAGTCAGGCTTTTCCCTTTTGGGCAAGATAATCACTTAGGCTTCTTCTGCTTCCTTAACCCCCCCCCAAGCTTATTGCTACCCCCAGCCCCCAACCAGGTTGGTGGTAGGGCGGGCCTGTGAGGCAGATGGCTGGGGTATTTATAACCCGGAGCACTTCTTGGGGAAAGTGACTAAGATGCTAAAAGCATATTTATAGCTGGGTTCTGACGTAAGTGTCAGTGGGAAGGTAGGGGCAGGCCAGGCACAGCAGCAAGAGGGTAGGAAGAGCTGGAAATTGGGGCCACCTGACAGAGAAGGGAGGGGAGAGGTGAGGTCAGTGACTCCTGCAGCCTCTTCTTGCTGCTTCCCTTGACTCAGGCTCACCAACAGGTAAGCCCTCTGAGATAACCACCATGGGCAGAAACCTCTGCTTTGCAGTTCTACAGTCCAGACCCTAGTGGGGAAGAGGGCTGTCACTCACCTGCTTGACCAACAGAGCTGGGGAGGCACGGGGCAGAGGGGCTGGAACATGACTCAGGCAGGATGGAGAGGAAGTTCTAAAAGTCTCACTGTCCCCCTCCCCACCACAGATGCCTGAGTTTCTAGGAAGAGCCTGGCACCCATCACCATGCTCCGTTGCCACGTGTAAATGATGAGGTCCAAAACCAAAACTGAAGGTTGCAGCGATGTGGGCCCTGGCGACAGCCTCTGCTCTCAGGCAGTGGCGAGGGGAGAGAGCTGAGGGACCAGCTTATCCGTCTTCCCTTGTAGAGGCAGGGTCCCCAGAGCGAGAGGTCGGAAAGTGCTCCAAATCTCTCCACTCCCCAGAGCAGCCCCTTTCCTGGGAAGCTGGTCAGCGCTAAGCCCACCGCAGTCCAGTGGCACAGCACTGCCACATGGTGGACACTGGCGGTACTGAGGCCCAGCCCCCAAAGTGCCATCTCTTCCCCTGTGCCAGATTTGACAGCCCCACTGGCTAAATAGTGGGGAGATTAATAAATTGGAGGAGAGGCACGTTTCCAAATCACACTTACTTCCTCCCAGCTTCTTGAAGGAACTAGGGATTAGGAGGAAGGGTGGCATGAAGCCTACTCTCATGAGTTCAACGTGGAGGGCCCTCTGGCCCTTTCATTTAAAGTCAGTGAGGAGCGTGGTGAGGAGGGCTGGGACTGGGACTAAGGTTGCAGTACTCACCATGCTTTGTTCCTAAAAGTCCTTAAACCTTCCATTTCCCACCGCCATTAGCAGAGGCTGGTGCCACTTGTAGGGTACCCCAAACCTAGGCAACTCTTAGAGCCCCCTGAGAGAGAACCAGCAGCTGGGTACAGGCCCTTCTGCCATCCTTGATGGACTCTGCCCTGCTGTAAGATTGCATCACTGCCACCCCCACCTCTCTGGGTTTCCCCAGACATTACAGTGACATGCCACCCCCCCCACATGCTCCAGCCCTCGTCCACGTTGTGCTCCAGTCCAACTGGACTCTGGGCGGTCAGCACAGGCAAGGTCAGGGGGTGACTTCTATGCCTCGTGGCACTGCCACCTTGGCCTGGGCAGGAGGACTCCGTTCCTCCCACTCCCCACCTCCCCCTACCAGCCTCTCACCTCTATTCCAGCCCCATTGCTAGAAATAAAAAGACCAGAGTTCTCCTTCCCGCCCAGAGAAGTAACCACTGGAACTCCCAGCTGCCTCGTGGAAACTGCTGCAGCAGTGGTGGCTGGGCAAGCTAGACAGACTGGAGGTATGGGGGGAAGCTGCCCTTCCCACCTTGCTCATGTGGAGTTCCCTCCCCCGAGCCCCAGACCTTGGGGACGGAGCATGTGAAATCATCCTCCTTCTTGCATCATGCATGTCCACATAGCCCCCCCACCCCCTACCCCTACCTCAAGCTCCGTGACCAGGGCCAGATGGTGAAACCTGAGCTCCAGGGGGGAACCTCCACCCCCTGCAGGGACCTGATGGGCAGCACAGCTGGCCAATCCTGGGGCTCAGAGGGTAGGTCGGGCTGCTGACCACTAGGTGAGGGAACCTTAGGCTGCTGGCTCTAGAGAGTCCCCAGTCAGTAACCAGACGTGAGCTGTGAGGGGCAAGCTGGCAGACGGCACTAAACAGTCACCCAACGGACCATCCGCTCTCTGCCTTCCTGAGTCCCAGACTACAGAAGACAGGTGACTGTACCCTTGGCCAGGGGTAGGTGTGGCACTGGTGTCCGCTGCTGCCGTGCCCACGTTGGCGTCCACGCAGTCAGACTCAGCAGAAGAAGCAACTGCCATCTGACGCTGTCGGCCTGACCCAGGGCCATTCACCAGGAGCATGGGGCTCCCTGATGTCCAGCTCTGGCTGGTGCTGCTGTGGGCACTGGTGTGGGCACAGGGGGCAGAATCTGTGTGTCCCTCCTGTGGGGGTCCCACACTGGAGCCCCAAGCAGAACGAGCTCTGGTCCTCGAGCTAGCCAAGCAGCAAATCCTCGAGGGGCTGCAGCTGACCAGTCGTCCCAGAATAACTCATCCTCCACCCCAGGCAGCGCTGACCAGAGCCCTCCGGAGACTGCAGCAGGGAAGCGTGGCTCCAGAGAATGGGGAGGAGGTCATCAGCTTTGCTACCATCACAGGTGGGTGAGGGAGAGACAGAGAGCAGGCAGGAAAAGGGAGGCAGAAGGGCAGAACGACAGCAGAAGCAGAGGGAGTCGGGTGTAAGAGGAAGAGGAATTGGGGGCAGGAACCAGTTGCAGAGTCCCTGTTTCTTCTAAATGTGGGTGCTAGGCAGAGCAGCGGGCAGGGCTTGTGGGAGTCTCAGAGGACAGCGTCATCTCCGCTCACCGTCCTCAGTCCCTTGTCCATCTTTCTGGCAGACTCCTCCACCTCCACCTGCAGCTCCATGCTCACCTTCCACCTGCCCACTCCTCGGTCCTACCACCTGTACCACGCTCGCCTCTGGCTGCACGTGCTCCCCACCCTTCCTGGCACTCTTTCCTTGAGGATTTTCCGATGGGGCCCTCGAAGGAAACGCCGAGGATCCCGTGTCCTCCTGGCGGAGCACCAAATGACAACCCCAGGCTGGCATGCCCTGACTCTGCCCTCTAGTGGCTTGAGGGCTGAGGAGCCTGGTGTCCTGAAACTCCGGCTGGACTGCAGACCCCTAGAAGGCAACAGCACAGCTGCCCGACAACCTCGGTGGCTCCTGGACACAACGGGAGAGCAGCGGCCCTTCCTGGAGCTTAAGACCCGGCCCAATGAGCCTGGAGCAGGCCGGGCCAGGAGGAGGACCCCCACCTGTGAGCCTGAGACCCCCTTATGTTGCAGGCGAGACCATTATGTAGACTTCCAGGACCTGGGATGGCGGGACTGGATCCTGCAACCTGAGGGGTACCAGCTGAATTTCTGCAGTGGGCAGTGCCCCCCCCACCTGGCTGGCAGCCCAGGCATCGCTGCCTCCTTCCATTCTGCCGTCTTCAGCCTCCTTAAGGCCAATAACCCTTGGCCCTTGGGTACTTCTTGCTGTGTCCCCACTGCCCGAAGGCCTCTCTCTCTCCTCTACCTCGACCGTGATGGCAATGTGGTCAAGACAGATGTGCCAGATATGGTGGTAGAGGCCTGTGGCTGCAGCTAGCAAGAGGACCTGGGCATTTGGAGTGAAGAGATCAGGCTAAGGGCTCCCAGGCAAAGGGCATCTGTGGCTGCAGCATCGGATCCCTGATCCATACCTCCACCCATGGGCCGCTTGGCAGTATGACTGGGTTAGCCCCTCTGGGACCCAAATGGGCACTTTCTTGTCCAGACTCTGGCCTATTCCAGGCTGGCTGATGTAGAGGGAGATGGGGGAAGTGTGTCCTCTAAAGGAGTCTACCCAGAAAGCATGATTTCCTACCCTAAGCCAGCTGAGAAGATGGCAGAGGGGAGGGAGGGAGGGTGGGAAGGAGAAGGCAGTGAAAAATCACTGAGTCTCTCCCAAGAAGAGAAAGCCCTCAAGTGAGGGAAGGAAGAAGCCGACGAGGGCTCCGAGGGCTTGGGATGGGAAAACCGATGGGCCAAGGGCAGGGACTGTTCAAGGGAGGCTCCAGAGGGAGCTGGGCAAGGGCTGACCGGAGGCGTTTAGGAGAGCCCCAGAGCGGGGAGCCCTGAGAGCGGTGCTGAGCTTGTGAAGCTCTCTGGTTTTTCTCGGGGTAGGATGGGGGAGCAAATGTTTTTACTTTCCTAATAAAAATGAAGAAAAAAAATCAAGAAGTGTGAGTCATAAAGAAGGGCTGGGATGACGGTCCAGAGGAGCGGTTGTCAGAGTGTGGCCTGGGAACCCCTGGGGAGGTTCCTGAGACCTTTTCACATGGTCCAAACTATTTTTCTAATAATACTAAGACGTTATTTGCCTTTTTAATTTTCCACGTCTCAAAAGCCTACAGTGTTTTCCAGAGGCTGTAGGACATGTGATTACATCATCTTTCTGACATCTTTGTTAATGGGATGTGTGCTTATGTATTCTTGTGTTACAATTTTTTTTCAGTTTTAATTTCTAATGTGGTAAATTGATATAAATCACATAAACAAAAGCTGAGTAATTTTTTAAAGAGATTCAAGGAGTCTTGAAACCAAATTGTTTGAGAATCGCTGATCTAGAGGCCCAGAGTCCAGGGTGGGGAGGAGAACGCTGTGTGCTCTGAAAGAGCTCCCCTGGAAGGAGCATGTGTAGTGTCCCTTCTCCAGTCATCGCTGGTCTTGCTTGACCGTCTGGGTATAAGTGGTGTCTGGGTCAAAGTCACGTGGGGGAGGGACGCTCAAATAGGGCTCCTTATCTTTCCTCCCACAGTTACTACATATATTTGTCAGGCTCAGACCTCTTTTTCGTTTCACCTTTCCCCTTGACCCTCAGACTGAACAGTTAACCCACTGACCTTCCAGACCCGAGGAGGTGGTGTTTGGATGTAGAGATAGGAAGTGGGAGGTGACAGAAAAGGAAGGGATTCCTTTCCCTCTATCATGCCTTCTCCCCTTTCTCATAAAGAAAGGCCAGAAAGACTAAAATAGCTGCCCCTTCCCCTGCATCTGGTCACCATGGCAACCCAAATCCAAAGAGACAGGGCACTCCCCTATCAGACACTACCGCTCTACAGTGGCAGCCTCTGCCAGTGGGCTCCCCGGTTTCTTTGGGTTCATACAACCCATCCATGGACTCCCAACTGGGCTTTGGTGGGGGGACCTGTTAAGCCTACTTCTTCAGCTCCCCGAGTCTCCTGTTTCCAGACTCCGAGAAGGTGTCATGTGTCAGAAAGGCCAGCAGAGGGAGCAAACAGCCTTGAAGAGCAGAGAGTGGGCAGCGCAGAGGTGCAGAGGCGGCCTCAGTCTCCAGAATTTCGAGATGAAGGAGAGCCGGGGTTCTCAGGGAACAGTGCTTCAGTCCCAGGGTTCCTTAGTAACCTTGTGAACACATGCTCTGCACCCAGAGCCTCAGCCGCTGCTCCTCCCTTTTATGCTTCATAGACCCCACATCTTCCGCCCAGGGCCCCCAACCCAACTCTGCCCCAATCCTGTTTCCACCAAACCCCAAATCTGTCTCAGTCCCTTCATGTTCCATCCAAAGGGTGAGGCCAGCGAATAAACTACAAGATGGAGGATTGCTCAATTAGTACGACGACCCTACTTTCAGTATTATCTTTCTCGAATGAATTTTTTCGTCGCCCGCTCCTCGCCCCTCAATATAATTCTCAATTTTTTTTTTTCCTGGCTCTGGTCAGGGCCTCTTCTTGGGTAGCCGATCCAGGGATCCAGGCCGGGATTTACTGCCCACCACCAGCAGCGTGTTCACCCCCCGGGGGGGGGTATTAGGCAGTATAGGGTCCCTCAAGGGAGGGGGAGGATCCTGGGGGGTCCTGGGGGTGCAATAAGCCCGGCACCCCCTCTCTCGCTTCCAGCTACCCCGCCTCATCCTTCAGAACAGCA